AGTAGTAAATGGTACCAATAACAGCACATTTGAGCAATGCAATTGTAGTGGATAAAATGGTCAATTTTTCCGTGCAGTACTGTACGGATTATACGCACCTCACCGGTTAAGAGTTTGACCGAGAGTTGTCTCCTTCCTTTTCTGGCCTAGTGCTGTTCTTTTCTACTTTGCGACGGTCAAACTGAAGGTCACATCGCTACAGAAATTAAACGAAGTATAACTATCTAATCTAATAGTGCGAAATCCTCAATTTTTTTTTGAGTAAAGAATAATAAAGACCAAAGGGTCATCGGTTCAGCAACATATGTGAAAGTAACTACCTGACAAGTATCCAAAAGCCATTTGCATGAAAGATCCTTTCGTACTTGAATTAAGACTGTACAGCGTTCAACATGTCACTTGGTTTACATACGAACTGAGTTACAAATTTCCTTCGTTTGTTAAATAACACGAACTACAGTGTTATTTTTTGTTTAGAATATTTTCAAGAAAATTCTACGTTGGAAGCTGTAGAACACTCGAGGATCAAGAAATCGAGGATTCGTCACGAGACATTCCTTTGCAACTTCCAGAAAGCGATGGATTTTGTCATATTGAACGTTAAAGCTACATACTTCGGCATCTAAGTTTATAAAGCAATTCTGTTGAACTAATACTATACTCTTTCTAAAATAATTGTTTCGCTATCAGTTACAATTTCATTTCATTTAGAAACGAATCCAACTGGTGACTCCTCTATCAAAGAAAATCTACTGTATGAATATAACATATTTTACTTACGTAATAATAATTAGAAGCGGTTTTGTGTCCAAAAACGTAAAAGTACGAATTCAAATTGAGCGCAGAATGAAGTTTAGCCATTAGAGTTACAGGTGCTACGGTTCGAACATCTGACAGTATATTGAGGAGATAATCCCTATTCAAGAAAGCTGAGTCATAACTCTGACCGTCATAACTATTCAGTTTATTGTCAGTACCGACAAATCGAGAATATGCCGACAATGTGTGGGCCAATATAAAACCCACATTCGCCTCAAACTTCGTTTCAAAATATTTTCGTAATTCAGAATTCGTTTCTTCTTGTAACATTCCGGCTGCCATTGCAACAGTGTTTAAAAGATGAGCGCTTTCTACCTCCATAACACCGTATATTAATTCAAACCTGAAATAATTGAAATCAAAGTAATTGAGAACCAATGTCTCCATACGAAGGAAGTTTACCTTTTAAAGATATCGTTGTACGCACTCATGATATGTTTTGGATAATTGGGAATGACCGTCTGATCAATTATTGGACCAAATGGTGTTTGATACTCGGGAATTGATATGGAAATGTCCATGAGATCTTCTAGTCTTCTCTTTCGTAAGCATTCTTCGAGTTCTTTGCCATTTGAAGGACATCTAACCGCCTTAGCGACTTGTAGAGTGACGTGTGTTGGATTTTTTACCAATGCCCAGTCAGACAGAGCCGTACCACTCATTAGTATAGCTCGGTGAAATAAAACTAGAAAATGTAACCTTCATTAAATTAGCAAAATTGTTGTGTAGACTTTTATTTTTTTTTTTGTATTTTATGAAATCGATGAACTGATAATACGGAATAATCTTCCACTTACGTTTATCTCCTTCCTTTATAATCATCGGAGACATCATGAGGAAATTGGCACACACTGCGCCGCTTCCTTGTCCAAACAATGTCACCGAGTTTGGATCGCCTCCAAACTTATCTATATTGTCTTGGATCCAAAGCAGTGCAGCAATCTGATCTATTAGTCCAAAATTGCTCCTGCTTTCGTCCTCCAAGCCAGGTTTTAGGAAGCCTGTTAAAAGAAAAATGAGAACATTGAAAGTAAAAGCGGGAAAAGTATTTCGTGATAGTAAAAACAATGATTTTAATCACATATTAATACTGGAAAATACCACAAACGGCGCGGTAAACGCCATCTGTAGTACGATGCTACATTTTAGGATTACGTATGCTCCAATAAGGTCCATTTAAATATATGGATATCTACTTGCTGAAACCAGTTGTGGTATTTTCTAAAACGCGCTGTTAAGACAGCAGGTAAAAGTTGGTATGTGTTCTGTCGGTGCTGCCTGCGACGCGCTGATGAGATCCAAAAAGATCGAAATAGCGATCAGCGTCTGGCAGTTTTGACAGAATACAGACCACTTCGAACTATTTTATTTTATACATATTAATACTGCTTTTCAAAAAGATGATGAGCAACCTTCTTGGATGTATTAAATGCTTCTGGGACAAGTTTTAGTACAAATACGACCGCCTAGAGCTGCGTGTCAGGTGCATGTATTCTAAATTGTGCCCAAGGAATGGAATTTCTACCACAAAAGGCAAAATATAAACACAATTATGCGTTCACCGATATAGCCGCAAGTATAATTATGTTATTATCCGTCAATGAATACTGAATTGTGTTCATACACATGCATTTTGCATATAATGCAGCGGTGATGCTTGAATATTAATCATATTCGGTCTACTAACTGCTAAGAAATAAAATTATTATCTATTATTAAATAGTCTTGTATCAAAAAAGAATATAAACTGGAAGACTGTGGTAAATTACATATTATGAATTAATAAAAAAGGTGAGTGTTATTGTTGTTATTAGCTATGGTGGTTTGTTTTCATAAAGTAGTACACAATTTGTTAGGAAAAAATAGAATGTTTAATTAATAAAAATTGAATACGTTTAGAATAAAATTCTTATATATACTCCTGTGGTCAAACCGCCGCTAATAATGAATATATGCAAATACATATATATATATTATATGTGGTCGAATACCACCTCAAAGCGTTTAGTGTGTTAGGGAATACATTGAGGGTAGTTACGCAGACAAACAGGACGTTGCAATACATGCAAACGAACAAACTATGGAATACATTTTGCATAATATAAACGATATTCAAGCAACATTCGTACATATTGTAAATATATCACAACTCTATGTCATCACGTACATTTGTATAATATATGCGATGCACAGGAATAAGGGTAGGTAATTTTTGGACAGGTTCTGACGCAGGCAATGCGAACAAATACAGTTTACATTTGGACAATCGTTTTCTGATATTCCGATAATTAAATTGAAACGAAGAGCCTACAGCAAAAATGTCGGAGATGAAATGCATTTTACGTGATTATAACCATGAATAAGTCTACAAATAACAATTAGCTACTAATAATTATGATGTTTATGTTTGATAAAGTCCTTTTTGATTTGGGGTATCGACTTGCCAAACTAAATCTA